TCATTGTTCCCCAACAGAAATCATGTTCTCAACTTCAGTTTATGGAACATTTGGTCAGTTGTTCAAGATTAGTCTACATTGAAACTTACTGTCATTGTAAGCTGCATTCTCATAATCTCCTGCCTCTCCATCAAGTTACTGCCCTGCTTATAAAAGACAACTAATTCACTGTATTTTATCAAAGAATCAAAGAATTCAAACTTGAGCTTAGCTCAGGGTAGCTCTTTTCACACACAAACACACACACAAAGACACACACACACATCTGCATGGGCACACGGTCATACACGCATTTACACACACACATCTCAGCAAGTTGAAATCTTATGACTTACTAAAATATTAAAATTTCTACATAAGAATCTTTTTCCAATATATAATATATTTATTATAAGCCATGATTTCATTTGTTTCCCTTTTAATATATAGGTTGAGAGGAGTTGGGAAATACTTGTTATTTGCCCCATGATTTAACACTTTTTCTTTCTTATCACCCATTAATGAAGAAGAATGTACTTTTATTGAGAAGACTCATATGAGAACGAAGTAGAAACCACTGGATTTCAACACACATATTTAAAAATTTTTATTGCTTATTTTTAACTATTCATAAATATAACCAAAATAAAAAATTAATGGAAGACAAAACTTTTTGAAGTAGGTTGAATAAAATTCAATGATAAAATATTCCTATGGTTTCTTTTAAACTAGACTTTATTGGATAGCTCTGATTTATTGCATTGAGTAATATTATGAGATCATTGGTTTTTACTCCTAATCTTAGCACCTAAATACTTAATATTTTATGCTTTCTATCCTCAGAAAGGAAAATAGTAGCTAGTCAGTGGATGAATTGGGTTTCATGGATTTGAAATTTTCTTTATCAAATTATTAATCAAAATTCATCTCAGAAATTCATTTCCAGCAGAATTTCTCTTTTTTCTTTATTTTTTAACTGAGCTTTTATACATTTCATACAATGGTTCTTAATCATATTTAGACTTCCCCTTTTCCATCCATGCCCCCCAAACCCCATGCCCATCAGATCTCATGTTTTCTGCTATACATGCTGAGTCGTATCCTTGAGACACAGTTTCTCTGTAGCCCTAGCTGGCATGGAACTCACTATGGACATCAGGCTGGCCTCAGTCTCACAGAGGTCTTCCTGTCCCTACCTATCAAATGTTGGGATTAAAGGTATGCACCACCATGCATGGCTAACAAAATTTCTTTTGAGAGTCTCACCATGTAACTGCAACTAGCCTGGAACTTGCTATGTCGACTGGGCTGGCCTCATACATACAGCAGGCTGCCTGCCTCTGTCTCCTGAATGCTGAGGTTAAAGTCATGAGCCCCCACATACTCTTTCTTCCCCTGACTATCTTCTTGACCTCATTTCATAGTACTCTCTCCTCACCAGTAGCCATTACACAGAAGACCCTCTCTCCAAAAGAAAAACACAAGCAGATAAAAAAGAAATATAAGATGTACAGATAGAGAAAAGTCAAGTTTTGTTCACTGAGGACCAGGTGATTATGCAGAGCAGCAGCAACTATCGTCCATTGCTGGGAGGAGTATAGAATGTCGAGAGCCACTTTGGAAGAGTGTTTAACCCTTTCTAGCAACACCAAAGATAAACTAAATTTATTCTTACCTTACAGTTTAGCAATCATGCATCATGGTATTTAGCCTGAGGACTTGAGATAAAGACACAGATGTTTTTGCCAGCTTTACTCATAATTGCCAGCACCTGAAAGAAACCAAGAGTTCTTTCCATGATGTAGGTGAATGAGCTCTGGCACATTCAAACTGTTAAGAAATAAAATGAAATGAACTGCATCTTGAGAGATGTTCAGGAGTTAAGAGCACTGCTCTTGCAGAGGGGTTCAGTTACTAGTACCACACTGTGACAAATAGCCATGTTACTCTAGTTTCAGGGGTTCTGTTGCCCTCTTCTGGCCTCCACAGGCATTACAAAAAATGGATGCATTTACACACATGCAAGCAAATCACTCATGCAGGTAAAATTAAAAACTAAAAATGAAAAACAGAAATGAGCTATGAAGTCATGACATGACATGGCAGAAACAAATTCATAACAGAAAGTGAAAGAAGCTAATCTGAAAGGTCCACATCCTGCAAGATTGATTCTAAAAAACTCAAAACTATGGAGACAATGAAAATGAATGTCCAGACATTTGGGGTAGTACATGCCTATAATCTCAGTATAGAATTCAGAAGGATGAAGCTGGAGAAAGAAGAGTTTGAGGCCTGTCGAAAGAGTTCCTTCACATAGTTTTTCTCCTCATTCAAATGAGGGTAGTGAAGCCAATAAAGAACTTGGCCGGGCCTGCAAAAATTTTCCACTGATGATGCCCCTGTTAATCCCAGCAAAGCCTCTGGTTGAACTGAATGTGATATACTGATGTCCTCATTCCTGTTCAGTAGACTTTAAGAGCCTTCTTGAGGTCCTTCTGGATGGTGCACAGCTGCTTGACATGACCATATCAGAGAAGGGGTGGCCAACTCAGTCAGTCTAACAAGGGAGTGAACAGTCCATTATCCATAGCATCCATGTACTTGTGCACACATTGATACAGAAATGGCATGCTGCCAATGAAGCTAGGTAGCCTGGGAGTCAGAATTCATTGTGTCTCTTCCATTGGTCACAAAGACCCAGAAAGCATACAGGCTCACTGCCTGGACAAATTGTATTGAAAGACAACCATGGTGAATTTTTTTTATGTGTTGAATAGATATAGCAGTAAACAGAGTCCAGTTCTTCAAGGAGTTTCGATTCTAGTGAAAGAGGAGCAAAAAAATAAGCAATAAAATGCCAACTGCTAATAGGTACTATAAGATAAAATGACAATCATGAAACGAAATTGGATTTCTTTCATCAAAGACTGTGATCTCAGCTACTTCTGAGATTGAGAATCACAAGTTTGAGGCCAGTCTAGGTGACATAGTGAAGTAGGCCATGCTTCTTAAAAAAGAGGGTGTGGGGTTCTTAAGGGAATAATCTATTTTCATCATGAAGGAAAAGCACTATCAAGAACACGCAGAAGATCCCCTTTACATCCCACAGGTCAAAACCAAGACCTATTCTTGAAGGAAAATGAGGAAGCAATTTTTCAGAAAAGGAAAGCAAGCTTGCCTTGTGTGCTGGATAGCTTTAGTTGTCAACTTGACACATATGGCTAAAGGCTTATTTCCTCCATTTGACGGACCTGTGGACATGTCTGTGGGGCATTTTCTTGATTGTTGAGTGATGTGGGAGGGTCCAGGCCACTGTGGGCAGTGCCACCCCTGGGCAGGTTGTCCTATGTTGTATAAGAAAGCAGGATGAATATGGGTCAAAGGACCAAGCCAGTCAACAGCGTTCCTTCATGGCCTGTATCTTCAGCTCTTGCCTCCAGGTTCCTGCCTTGAGTTCCTACCTTGGGCTTCCTCAGTGATGAACTGTGACCTTGGAGACATAAACCAAATAAACCCTTTCCTTCCTAAGTTAGTATTGGTCAGGGTGTTTTGTCACAGCAATTGAAGGCAAACTAGAGCACCTTGATTTTTTCCCTGCAATACTGAGTATGTGAATATGCTTTAAAAATAGGGCTCTATTGGCAAGGATAGAGAGACAAAGGCAGTTTTGGAAGGGTAACTACAATGGTTCACATCTTGACTGTTCCCCAAGGGTCCATGTGTTGAAGTTTTAATCGCCAGTCAGTGATGCTACTGAGGGATAGAAGAAGTGTTGTAAGGAGGAGCCAAGTAGTACTTTCAGTTTAGTGATGGAATGTCCTCAAAGAGGATAGAAGTTCTCCTGGTGCTCAGGGTCTAAGCCAGGTGTTTACAAGTTCCTGGCCTCTTATTCAAAGTTTAGGACTCACACAGATATTTTAAAAGAAGCAAGGTAATATTCAAAGAAAAATTATAGAACAGATTAAAACCACTGTCAAGAGTGATAATGAGGATACTCAGGACCCTGATTTTTGTCTGGGGCTTCCTTTTATGGGGTTCAAGAGAAGTTTGGTATAATTTGGATGACTCTCTATTTTGATTGACAGGCTTGGATAACATAAGCCTTTGTTAACTGTGAATGTGCATCTGATGATGCATGATGCATCTGATTTCAATTATATGTATACCTAGATATGCACAGGCATAAGATGGTATATAAGTGATTTGTCTTTAGTAGGTGAATTTTGCCTTATTGGGCATGTATTCCAAACTAGTTCAGGCCTAATAACTCCCTCCACATTGGTATAGGATGTATTAGGAATATGTTTGATTAGAAATCTTCCAAGGTTGATAGTCTTCAAGTGGAGGAGAAATGTTTCATTGTTCAGAGAGAAGTGTCTGTACATATCAATACAGGTGGTGGTTTGTGTAGTAAGTTGATAGCCTTGTTCAGAGAGTGGTGGGGGCATAGTATGTATATATGTAGGTGACCGTCCTAATCACCAAGTGGATTGTTGGACGAGGAGTATGTGCACAGTACAAGCCAAGTGAAGTCTCAGGCTGCTAAGCTATTCCCAATGCTTACCTGTCTCACTGTGTCCTGAGCACTCCTCTTCCTCTTTCACTTCCTGTTTACTCTGAGGAGAATAGCTGCTTCTGCCAGGTAACCTCACCACTGAGGTACTGCTTTGATATGGGCCCAACTGCAACAGGACTAATCAATTGTAGGCTGAAATCTCATACTATGAGTCAAAATGAAACTTTACCCTTCTCAAATTTATTATCTCAGGTATTTTACTACCGTAATAGGAAACAGTGATTAAGATTAACATTCATTAAAGACAACATAGTGTGAGGGGGAGACTTTAAACAAGTAAATAACAGTACAAATATTTTCAGATTCTTTACCAGTTGCTAAACAATAGACTGATAAAACTGATGAGCCTCTTTTGAAGGCAAAGCTGGTAAAACTTAGCAATGGAGTTAAATCTGAGAAAAGATGATTTCAAGTTAATTATTCTCATTTGTAAATGAAGATCAATCTGTAGCCAATTAAGTGACCAGGCTCCTTCACGCCTGGGGCCTGGTCTGCAGTGTTAGCAGGTAGCAGCCTCCATGGTGGTACAGGCAGCCTACTGTTTCAAGAGTTTCTCTAAGGGGACTTGGAGACAGAGCTTTCTAGAGGATTTTCTGGTCTCATGGTGTTTCCAGTCTGTATTCTAGATGGGTGTGCAGAAAGTCTTTGGCAAGTCCTAGGCAGTGAAGGGTTAACATTGGCCAGGTCACCATGTCAAGTTACATGAAGATACAGAATAAGGAACATGTTACTGAGGCTCTGCGCAGAGCCAAGTTCAAGTTTATTTGCCACCAGAAGATCCATATCTCAAAGAAGTAAGGATTTATTAAAGTGATTGCAGATGAACTTGAAGATGTAGTAGCTCAGAAGCATCCTATCCCCAACAACTATGGGGCCAAACAGATCTCCCATCCTAGTCTCTTGCACTCCAGAGGGTTTTACTGCATTGTCCCTTTAATCCCTTTAATAATACTCACTAAAATTTGCATATTATCCCAAATAATTAATTGGTTAAAGTTGAAGAAAGTTAAGATCTAAACGCATACCATTGGTCAGGCATTTATGGTGAACACCTGAAACTTCAGTACTTGAGAGACTGAGACAAGAGGACCATTGTTGATTCAAGGTCAGATTGGGCTACATAGTAAGATCCTGTCTCAAATAATAATAGTAAGAAGACAATACAATGATAAATTTAATAAAGAAATACTACTATTGCTATGAATTCAATGTGATGCTATTTGCCATCAAAGTCAATTTTCTAGTGGGGAGAAAAAGAAAAGGACAAAATCACTTCAGCAACTATGACAATCTGACAGTAAACAGTTGAATCATTCTGAACAGAGATTCAGCATTTAGGATGCTTCACCTTCAAAACTGTATGAATTGCAAGTCTAGGGGTTTGTTCACATGTGATTGTCTCAATCTTGTGTAGCCCTGAAGCCTGATGCACCCACAAACACTGGTGCATACTTGTTATCCAGGTGCAGCTCTCCCAATCTTCCAAATGATATGGGGGTGACCTCTGTGCATGTAGTTCAACCTCTGGGGCAACAAGATAGGCATCCACTGACCAATCTGGGCCAGTGGAGGGGCTGCAGACTTCTGGGCACCTGTTCTTGCCTATCCACAGGTGCAACTTAAGAGGCTTCTGGGCTCCTAATGCCTCGGTCACTTATTTACAGTGATGCTTAGCTAGCTGAAAGAAAACTGAACCATATTTGCTTCTGTGACCTTCTAAAGCTGTAGCCACCATGGAGAGTGGCACATTTTTGAGAAAATGTAGAAAGGAGTGAGAGAGTCACCCCATGCTTCTAGGTCGAGAGGGCTAGGACCCAACCATCTGTAAGGAAAGCCAAAGGTCATGAGGGTTAGAGTAGATGACTTTCCTCTCCGCTCTCCCTTTTCCCTCCTTTCTCTATTCTCTCTCCTCCCTCTTCCTCTGCCTCTGTCTCTCTCCTCTTCCTTCTCCTCTGCTCTCTACTTCCTCTTCTGTCTCCCGTCTCCTCTTCCTTCTCCTTTTTCCTTCTCTCCTCTTGCTCTCTCCCTTGTTTTCTCTGTACCTCTTCTTCTTTCCACTCTTCTACATCTCTTCTCTCCTCCTCTCACTCTCCCTATCCTCTCTCTCTCTCTCTCTCTCTCTCTCTCTCTCTCTCTCTCTATATATATATATATATATATATGTCCTTGGCCCTTCCTGTCTATCCTGGGAATTGAATCTAGTGGCCCCCACATAGCCAAAATGCTCAGGGTGCTACCACTGAGCTCCATTCCCATCCTGTGTTTTTTTTTTAACTTTTAATGAAAGCAATAAAAGGAAGGTAGGGAAGGGGACGTTGACAGTACCCCACACCACAGCCCCAATGTATTCAGATCATTAATACCCAACATAGGAAGTCTTCTGCCTTGGCCTTCTGCATTTAGAATTCCAGTTGAAATAGGTTGGTAGCAGTGCAGAATTTTAAGAGAAATAAAGGATCTTGGACCAGATCTTGACCACTGATAAACCTTTGCTTCCATGGAACAATGTGAAGGTGCTGGGATGAGTCTCATGCCTGTGACTAGAGGCAGGCAACTAACCACAGCCTCCACAGAGCCAGGAACGTAACATATATCCAGGGGACCAGATGTTAAGAGATATGACCACTGGAGGAGATGACTCCTGCAGTACCTTCTTTACTGAGTCAGACTCTGGGGGACATGTGCCCAGGGCAAAATCTGTAGACCTGGAAATGATCATTGGTGAGTTGACCTGAAGCCCTGGCCAGAAGTTTTCCTTCACTGGCTATCTACTCACTATGTCTCCCTTCAAGCCCTGCAAAGTAAGAAGGCATGCAAAGTTTATTAGTGATGGGCTGCTGGCTTCCTTTTACCTGACAAAGTTCATATTGATTCCTACCATCGGCTCTTTTGCCCTAAACAGCTGAACACAGGCAAAGAAATTTGCCAATAGCTATGCCTTTGGGCATTACACCATTGACAAGGGTATCATTGACCTCATCTCAGACCAAATTAGAAAGCTAGTAAATGCTCTATGTAAATATGTATTTAAATTGGGTGTTAGCTTAATGGGGTGACCACATACCAGCATTCTTCTTTATTACCCGCCAACATGCAGAGCAGGCTGCTCATTCTGATGACTTCTACACTAGCTGTTCTCTAGGTTATGGGGAAATTTGTAATGTCTGTTGTACCTGTCCCTCATGCTAATATCAGCTGGATATGGTTCATGACTTATTGGAATCATAGTACTATATAAGAAAACATGTCCTGGGATTAAAATATTACATTTTATTCTTCCCTGTAGGCTGACCAGTCACAAGTCTTCAGGGCTTCTTGATTATCAGAAGCCTTGGTGTTGTATCTGGTTTGGCACTGGGTTCATCTCCCTCCTGATGGACCATTTCTTTATTGATTATGGCAAGAAGTTCAAGCTGAAGTTCTCCATTTAACCAGTACCTCAGGTTTCAACAGCAGTGTTTGAGCCATACAGCTCTACCCTTACAACCCATGCATTCTTGAGCATGTATCTTCAGAGTAGACAAGGAGGCCATTTATTACATCTTTCACAGAAACCTCAATTTTTTTAAAGTCACAGGATTTTCATTTTATTGAGCAATTCTTTTTCCTTTTTAACTTAAAATATCTGTATATTTGAATTCTCTTCTAGAAAAAATTCCATATATTTGATTAAAATGATATTAATTTTACCAACCAATGAGTTTTAAAAGGCTGTACAATTAATTATTCAATGCAAGATGCTGTTAAGACTTGAAATTGACAGTCATGTTGGTTCATGCCTTTATTCTCAGCACTAGGGAGGCAGAGGCAGGTGGATGTCTGTGAAATTGAGGACAGCCTGGTCTATCTAGGTAGATAGTTCTAGACCAGCTGGGGCTACAGAGAGACCCTCATCTCAAATAGAACAGGAAAAAAAAAAGACTGGGAATGCATAGGACACTGTAAATGTCCTGCACTTCACTTCCCATTCAGTACTTGACCTATCTCTCAGTTTTCTGCCATTCTGTATACTTTGGGAAAGTAGTTGACTCCATATTTTTTTTGTCTTTTTGAGACAGCTGTAGCCCAGCTGTCCTGGAACTTGCTATGTAGACCAGGCTGGGCTTAAACTCACAGACCTCTGACTGCCTCTGCCTCCCCAGTGCTGGGAGAAACCTCAATTTTTTAGTAGTCAAACTATACTAACGTTCTATCCCCTCACCCACATAGGACACATGCCTACCAGAGTCACATGCCTACCAGAGTCTGTCTCACTAAATATGTTCTGAAGGAGTTGTCTCTTCCATCAGTGGTCTTGTCACTTAGCATCGGGCCGTCTGATTGGGTATCATTTTCCAGGAAGTAGAGATCCTAGCAAGCACTGACATTCCGGATATCAGCCTGGGCAACATCAATGGAGATGTCCTTGCTTTAAATAGGGAAAATAATGGCTTATCAGTCAGATCATATTTTCTATCACTACTTCCCTCAGATTTGATAGAGCCTGGATGTTGATCTGACAGATCTTTCAGACCAACCTGGTACCCAATCTTCGTACCTGCTTCCCTCTGACCATATATGCCCTTATCATCTGTGTTAACAAATCTTACCATGAACTCTAATAAAGTTCATCATTACCTGCCTTGAACCGTCAACCAGAGGATGAAAGTGATCATCAGCATGGTAAATGAAAGGTGTACTGCCTGCTGAACCATGGTGATGTCAGTCCCAAGACGGCAATGCTGTCATTGCCACCATCAACGCCAAGCACAACATCTAGTTTGTGGACTGTTGCCCCACTGGCCTCAAAGTTAATTACCAACTTCCAACTGTGGTACCTGTTGGAGACCTGGCATAGGAACAGCATGCTAAGTGCATGCTGAGCAACACCACAGCCCTTGCTAATGCCTGGTCTCACTTGAACCAAATGTGGTGACCTGATCTTTGTCAACTGTACATTTGTTTTTGGTTTGTAGGTGAGGGGAATGGGGGGAGAAGAGTTTTCTGAGTCTCTCATGGACATGGCAGGACTAAGAAAGGATTATGAAGAGACTGATAAGGAGTCTGTGGGAGGGGAGGCTAAATAAGAAGGGGAGATGAATTATGGTTATTCATCTTTTAACCTCAGCAGCCTATCAGCCAAGCATGCTTTTGCTCACTGGTGAGTGAGAGGAAGGAAAAAGGAGACCTTTCTGAATCCTATGAGGCCGTAGCTGATGCCAAGTGTGCTTTGTTCATTGGTATATGGGGAAAAAATAAAGGAAGTATTTAGAGTTTTCTCAGACATGTGAGGACAAGGCTACTCTAGGGGTGGGATATGAAGGTTAATTTGGATCCTGTTGAAGAGGGTTAGGAAAGAGAGGAACACTTATAATCTATTTCTTTTGGCCCTGCAGCTTGTGCTGTCCTCAGAACCTGAATTTTAGCATTAGCTTATAGACACTGAAATTTTCTGACTAGATTTTGTCATCACCTATGTACTTTATACATCTAAGTAAGATTTTTCTGTATCTCAAAGCAAAAGTTTTAAGAAACATTATTGTCTCCTGTGTTTCTTCTAAAAGTGCTTGACTGTAATTTATCCACTCTTGGAATACA